GCGTCCGGCTTCGCGCGCTGAGATTGCCTGGTCGTTATAAGGTTTCGACTACTTCGGAGGAAAATAATTACAAAATCACAGAACGGAACACTTTAAATCTTTCGTCAGCCCTTTTGAGAAGTCGCATTTGTTCAGCTTCCGGGGCTCGCTTCTGCGTCTAAAATGTTGTTTCCGTGCTTCGAAATGCGTTCGAAACGGGGAGAATTCGTAGCGGCGCAAATATTTCGTTATTAAACGCGCTTCTCTTCGCGAGGGAGGCAATAAAAAATTATTTATTACTCTAATTCGCACGAAATAATCGAGGTATCGAATGAAATAAATTTTCAATTTTTCGTTCGAAAATACGTTCCGACGACAAATTCAAATTCCACGCGAAGATGAAATGTCACTAGCTCGTACCAGATTATAACTGTTAGGTTATATCGATGCTGAATATTGTATCGTGCATCATGATTGAAACGTTTACGGTGTAACGGAATTTTTTCAACTAGTGATTTGGTCAACAAAATTATCGAGTAGCGCAATTTTATATACGTTGTGAAGTACGGTGTCCGGTTACCGGTGTAAAATGAGCTGATCCGGATATCGTTTAAATCAAATTGTTGATAAATTATCGTTTAATTAAATCGGTAACAGCGAATCAAACGAAAATGGCTGAAGGCGAGCAAACCGACGAAGATTTTACGACCGACGAAGCTGAAGACACTACCACGGATCTACCAGAAACCGAGGCGACAGAGGATACCGATGCACCAGGTGACGATGCAACCGAGACCGAGAACGAAACACAGAAAGAAACAGAAGGTGGGTCTAGAGGCAACGTACAGGCCGAGAAAAGAAAATTGCCAAAAGTAAAGAAGAAATTAAACGGAAGGAAACGAGCATTTTCGATGGACAGGTGTATGAACAAAAAATGGACTTGCGACGACATGTCTCTGTGGCAAATTTACATGAAAATGTAAAGTCGCATAAAACATTATATCTAAAATATTTCTTACTTCTGCTCGTCGAGTTTATCTCGCGCGATGTTTCACAATTTTGCCAGGTTCGTAGAGGACCAAGAACAGTTGGAAAAGGACGACATATTCAAGCACAGAAAACCGGCCAATCTGCGAAAATTTCCACGCGTCCAGTCGGAAGAGGATTTGGCCGCTCCTCACAAATGTTTGCCCCTTAACGCTTTCCAGCTACGCGATCAACTGGCCTTGCCTGATAAGCTGGATCGGTCGAAAATGATTCGAGTCTGGAGGAATATGCGATCCAACCTGCCGGTCAGTAAATCGATTATTGCAAAATCTAACGTAAGTGAAAATTTTTCTGACGAGCGTCGCTCCCGCAGGTACACGCGACCAAGTCTGACACGGAAGTGTCGCCTCGCGTTTCCACGACCAGCAGCCAGAAATGGCCGGGCATGTGGCCGTGCACAAAGCGGGATTTGGTGAAGGAGCTGCAGAAACGTCGACAGGAGAGGAGAAGTCAGAGGAAAGATTTGTTCCCGTGCGATCCGGACGACGAGGAGGAGGACGTGTTCGAGGACCCCAAGAAAGACTTTTCGGATCGGAAGGAATTGGGTCACGCGAGGATACCGCAAGTGTGCCCTCTGCCCACCAAAGAGACGATGGTTGATCGGGCTGCTGGCGAACAGCCTGGCTTAGTCGACGGTGATTACATAATATTCGAGTTACCCTCGAGGGCGAGGGGTAACAGGATCTACGCCGACGTATGCCTTCATGGTATGAAGGGCATGCACTTGCTGGAACTGGGACTGTTGCGACAGCGTCGAAAAACTTGGAAATTCTGCTTCTACCAGGCTATCGTTGCACTCCTGGCCAAGACTCAGCTAAGGTAACATCGGTGTTGCGTTTTTTAATCCTTAAGTGGATTATTGGGGCTATACAAATTCAAGTAATGTATTTATCAATTTGGTAAAAATTAAGACTGAGAGATTATTTATGTATTGCAAATCACAATATATAAAGAAACTAATATCTGATACATCTTTACAAGGTACAAATACGCCTGGAGCGCGAACATCGACTACATCTACGATCACGCGTGGATGCTGTACACCCACATCGGTATGATAAACGTCCAGAAGAAGCAAAGGTTTGACGACATCGTCGTCTACAATTACAAATACAGCATCGAGGTGGAATTGATTCGCGAGTTGAACGACGTCCCCGTAGTCACTGGCGTTGAATGGGACTACGAGGAAAGCAATTTAAGACTAAAATTGAAATTACCTCGCAAGGAGTTGATGAACGTTCGATTGGAGATCGGTTCGGAGAAGATCACCGACCAGCAACGGGTGCCCGTGCACAGGGGCACGAGAAGGATCGAGGACTGGTTCGACAAGCTCAAAATACGCTATCGAAACTGTATATTTCGCACCACGCGATTCTGTTTGGCATTCTGGAGGGACAACGCCTTCTGGTACTTGTACAATCCGTATCGATGCGACGAGTTCGGCTACTGGGACGACGACGGGCGCGCTTGTATCGTCAAGTTCTGCTCAAAGGACTCGCTGAGACGTCATCTGATGATCCTTCTTCTCAGAGCGTACGTTCACACGATCCCAAAGTCGGAAATGCAGGTGGCCAAGGACGCCATGCCCAAATCAGTGGAGCCAGTGTTGCTCGGGGAGGACGCGCCGAAGTTACCGGAACCCGTCGAGGAGGTATCGTGGGAGGAGGAGTTCTACACGATCCAGATCTTCCACGTGACGCATCACTGTTGCCAAATCCACAATCTGAAGATACTGCAACGAGGTGGGCCGAAACCGCCACGGCGTCTTGTGAAGAGGAAGACGATCGACGACTGTCCGTTCGATCCGCTGGACGTCAGGGACCCGTGCACGATCGAGCAAGAGGAGGGGGACGCGAAGGATGCGATCGAGAAACCGACGTGGCTGAAACTGTACAAGATCATCTGGGCCAAGTGCATGCCCGTCGCTCAGAAGAAGAAGACCAGCAAGGAGGCGGCGGGCGCCGGGAAAATGCGATGGCACCAGTACGTCGTGGAGGAGTCGATCAAACTGTTCTCTCTGTGGGGCGAGCTGCACATCACCGACGGCATGTTCGAGCGAGAGAACCGCGGCATGCAGACCTACGCCTGCTACGTGGTCTGCGCCGGTATGACCAGGATCATGGCGCCAGAATATTGGACCTCGAAGACCCTGGACGTGATCGTGATGTGCGGGGACAGATACTACACCCACAGCAAGCTGGAGGCGGAGTTCAAGTCTACCAAGAACGAGTACAGGCACGTGAACTGTTGGAACAGGTACCTGATGAGCCACTTCAAGATCGGCGAGACCATATTCGAGGCCAAGGTACTGCCAGCGATCTGCGGCAGGCTCTACTCCAAATCGAACAGATACCTCTGGCAGGCGTTGGAACAGATGTTCCTCAAGTATCACTTCGGTATATTGACCTGCGAGAGTTCCTGTCTAGGCGTGTTTAAGTTCTGCGGCTCTTATTATATGTGCGACGTGAACTCATTCGGGCCGCCCTTGTTCACGTACGGCGAGGGAACCGCGTACTTGCTGCGAGCCACCTACTTTTACAAATTCATGACGGTCCTGGTGCTCACGGTCGGCTCGCCGGAGTGCAGCCAGTTTGCCCTGAACCCCATCGAGATCCTGAAGGTGGTCGAGGTAGGACCCACCGCTCTTCCCATAGGAAGATTCGAGAAGAAGAGAGACAAAAGAATCACCAAAATAGAGTGTCCCTACGACGAGGAGAAGAAGAAGCAAATGAAGAAGTGGAAGCACAGGAAACAGGAGACAGCGCGCACGATCGACAAGCTGTGCTGCAAGGGCACTTGATCGGCCATTTTCTTCCTCGCTACGACACCTACACGTGAGTACCTTCGATCCAGTTCTGTTCAAGTCATTGTGCTCGTTGATAGAATTTATGTTGTATTGTACAATTACAAGTTTCCGAAGTTAGTACCCATAGAATGGAGGTATAATTGCTGCCAAAACAATTCGTTCCTGAATCGTTAATATTGAATAAATGTAACTGGTAGATCGTGCATTGCCTGGTGTGTACAGTTACTGTTTGAAGGGTCAATAATTTTAAATAAAATATTTTCGAAGTGTATTTACTGTACGAAAGAACACGTTGTAAACGCGATACAAAATGTAAATAACTCTTGGATGTAAATGCATTTTGTATTTCTTTCAAAACAATTTCACTCGCCTCGAAGCAATACTCAACGTTTCTACAGTATACATTTGTGTATTGTTATTTACTGATTTCACCTGTTGGAAATTGCTTGCGACGAGCACGATATTTTCTCGGGTGTTCGGCGTTGAAGTTAACTGTCTTAATATTTTACGTAATACCGTGTTAATGAAAAGTTCGAAGAGAAGTCGGACGGCATAGAATAATCGAAAAAGGGGGGGAAAAAGGGTTTCAACGGCGGAAATAAAAGTAACCGCATTTAAGTCGATCGTCTTTAAGTCTCAGTGCACCGGCGGCGCGGAACTTATTAAACTTGCACCGCAGAGAACCGTCTTAGTTCTCTGGTTGCCCTCGGGATTTATGTACTTACCAGAACTTGCCTCGAACTTGGCGAACTTACGGTGTCCATGAGTTGGCGCTACTCAGCCGGCGGGGTGGTCATTTACCCCTATCGCACAATACTAATAATATAATCGTCGAGGCACGTAGAACTAACTTTCAACTACGACGACGAGGGAAACCGTCGAGGGATTTTAATCGCTGATCCATTCCGTAACGAGGTGCGCATCGGAATATAACGGGTGTTCCCGAACGAAAACGATCCCCGAAATAAAGCAACAATATCCATTGTCTGTATTTCGAGTCAATAATTTATTTCACTGCCTATTATACACATCGATCGTAAGCTGTATGTACAAACATATTTACACCCTAATTCCGTATTTACACGTTCCCCCGGGCGGCGAACGAGGGAGATGTAGATCTCGATTTCGATCTGATCGAGCTCGTCGGTGAAAAACGCCAATATTCCGACTACGCCACTTCGAGGTCCGAACTGTCGGTGTCTTGCTCGTGTTGTTGTTGTTGCTGTTGCTGTCTGGTCAGTATTAAATGGTCGGGCGCTTTGACCGTAGCCATGGGCACCGTGTCGTCGGTGCGCTGACGTTGTTCCAGCTGAAGTTTCCGCATACGTTCCTGTTCTTCCCGCTTTTGTTTGCGCCACTTGGCGCGCCGGTTCTTGAACCACACCTGGAATTAGACATGTTCGACTTGAGGGCGGCTACCCGGTTGCGTTTATTTTCGCGAGGCGACGGGGGAAGGGAAAAACGGGATGAGCGGAACAAATTTCGAAACGAGCGTCGAGGAATAATTAATACGCTACTCGGAATAATTAGAGAATGGCTCGTACGGGAGAACGTTATGGTAACGTCTTCATTACGCAAATGAGAAACAGAAGTGCGTATCGTCACAGAGAGCGACTGTATAATTGCGCGAGCAAAACAACGCGTGTAAATCTTCAAAACGATTCCAACGATTTGACGAAATTTCGTAGATTCGGAGATCCGTGGAAAGTAATTTCACCCTCGGTAATGCGTACTTAAAATTCGTCGTTTTAAGCGACGGGATCTCAATTTAACAGAGTATCTTGAATCACATTTCCATTTGTGCAGTTTAGATAGAAATGAAAGCAAACTTTGGTAATGGATTAATTGGAAAAAAAAAAAAATGAGCTCGTTAAAAGATATCGTGTATATTTAGTACGGTCCGTGATTTTGAAAGAATGTTTAGTTTTCAAAATATTAGTCATCTCGTTTAAGTGAGTTATCCTCTAATTATATCGAGCAATGCATCGATGCGCCCGTCGGGGCATAAATTCATTATTATTGTATCGTAAAATTACCCAGAAGCCTTACTTTCAATCAGGATAGACGCTTAATTGATAAACCCGTTTACCTGTGCGACGGCGTATTCATCGGGAGGCTCTTAACAAGGCGAGGGAGCTGGCGAAGATCAAAAGGCTTCGTCCCACATTTGAAATCAGCATTTGTTCCTCACGCTTGTCCGACTCGATTTAAAACGAAGACCGACAATCGATATATCCGCCGTTACCAATAGACTTTCACCGTTTCGGGTGTTGCACTAATTTTCTTAAATTAAAGTAATCGCGCACCCGTACTCTATCCGTTTCTGTTATATAAAAAACTACTGAAAAATAGCCTTCACATCCTCGACCAATCGAATTACGATGGCGTTTCCTTAACACTTTGACGGCCGCTGTCACGCATACGTGACTTTCGTGTACGTGATCTACTGTATCAACCACCATTTTATCATACATTCAATTTATTACGTTTGTTGAAGTTACATTTATAATTCCTTAGAATAATATTCCTAGCATCTTCATGTATCTCACTTTGGTCTACAATATCAGTGGTGACGGGCAACGGTCCTCGCGTGATACGCGCGGCCATTAAAGTGTTAAAATTCGTTTCTTTGAAATTAAAGTTCCGATCATAAAATCTCTCTTTTGTTTGTCGACCGTAAGAATTCCAGCGAATTTGTTATTTTTGTATCGGTGTAATCACGGTTTCCCGCGTCTTTGCTTTTACAGCTTAACACCTGTCCGTGTTTCTGCATTTTGTTGATGCAATCACGAAGATAGGAAAGACCGTCGCGCGAGCAAACAGTCGTGCTTCTTTCCAAACACGGGATGGAGTGCTTTGGGCCCTCTCGAGCTGTTTCTCGTCTTTTCCTTTTACTACCGCCTCTTTCCTCTTTCCTCGTCCGAGAAGTCGCCTTTCTACTAATTCTGTACAAACACCCGAAACTCTTGCCCGACGCGGCAGGTGCACTGCAGGTATATGTTGTTTCAAAGTCTTTAAAGACTCTCGAGACCAGGGATTTTCTTTGGCAAAGCCGACGATGCGGGTGGTCCGTTGGGTCCACGATAAGTGTGAATGACTTTGGGGATTGTTCGAGCAAATTGCCGGGGCTAGCGAGTGTACAAATTTCTCTCGATTTCTACTTTTACGTTAACTGCTAAAACTCATTATCGGCACTTCGAACGTTCGGTGTTTAGAGATGAAACAGGTCGTTAATAACACGGTTAACAAATCCCGGCACGAACTTCGAGTTATCGTTCTTCGACCAAAGTTTCTGAGAAATCTTCTTCGATCGGACGTCCTATAATAAGCAACGTTCTTTAACATTTCCTTCCAACAATTTTTTTATCACAAAACCGCCTCAGCTTCTCGTTCTTTCGACATCTTCGCGTCGATGCACGTTTTAAAAACGAGATTGTGCTAAAAGAATCTTAACCATCAAAGATTTAATGTATATTAATAAAATACGCTTATTTGATAACCGGGGTACCAATATATCGATGTTTGTTTCGACGAAACAAGCTCAGCCATTAATATTAAATACTCTTAATAATTTTCAATCCGTCATTAACATTTATTATGTTTTATTGTATTTCCAATTATAGATTTTTGGGGTAAAGTAATCGACTTTGTTTTATTCCCCGTGAACGTATTAATTTTACTGCACAGGCTTTGAATTACGAAATACTTTTATGACGGTGCACGAACTTTACTAAATTTTAAGGTGATCGATTAACATCGTTTCGAGGGACAATTTTTCAAGGAAAACGCGTTTAAAGTTTCGTAATTTAATATCCGATAATATACAACTTTATAATGGGAATTTCGATGTAATATGATTTGCATGTTACTTTTAAGACTCCTATCTATAAGTTTGTGGAAAAAGCCATGCACAGAGTTCGGTTAAAAATTCTATAGCTTGGCTAATTTATGAATTTTAATAATCTTCGACTAAATCGATCCTGTCAAAGTTTGAGGTTGGTCTACCACTTTGGGAACGCCTTGTGTACTTAAGCGATCTTCCACGGAGTCCTCTTTTTCCAAAAAAGGCATTTGCGCCTGAAAGAAGCAGGAAACTGAAACTGAACATCAATCTCCTCGCGATCCTTTTAAACAGGAGTACAATGCTCCGCTGGAAAAGGGTTCTTTCGACAATCCAGTCTCAATGACACCGTCCTAAGTCCTTTCAGAAGTCTTTCTAACAACGCGCGGTGTTGTCGAGTGTCAAATCTTTTCGTCATCGAGGACTCAAACGTCTTGTCGACGTAAAAATATAAAGTATTTAATTACAACATATACCTACTCGTCGCGTTTTCTTTGCGTCATCATTTTTTTAGAAGTCTTAGATACATAGAAGTATACCTTATAAACGAGGCGATGAAGATAAATCTATGTCTTGCAAATTTAGTCAGAACGTTGCATCGAGTTTACAAGTACGGTAGGAAAAATAAAGCAAGAACTATGTTGCCTTAATTAAAGAGCAAAAGAAGTAAAAATAGAAGTACACTTAGAACGGATCCTTAAAACGCGACGAGAAGAATACGAGACGTAAATAGGAAATAATAATGGTCTTGAACCTCTTTACTTCCCACGAATATAAGCAGTTTGTAGTAGATGCTGTGTACAATTCTATTTTAGGAAAAAAGTATAATTGCGTTCTTTAGATGGGCTCGATTTCGACTCGTAATATTATTATTTATTTCCAACAATTTTCCCCAGTCGCGTGGGACAAAAAAATGGCACGATCTCGCCCCAGACGACCGTGTAACGTAGGCGTGCGCGAACTTAGCGTGATCGATGACGCGTCACAAGGTCGAGAAACTGGAAACACTTGTTACAATCCGCTAATTCGCTAGAATTTAATGGTTGCACGCAATGTAAATCTTTGCAAGCGGTAAATACCCCATAAATTCTACGCGGGGCGGCGTGCACGCGTGTGAGTTTCGATACATGGCGTTGTCGACCATAGGTATAATTGAGGTAAACACATTACCTCCAAAGCTTTTAATCTAGCATATACCATGTCGGACCAAATCGAGCAACACCCGATAAATACTGACCATTCCTGGGACCCATTTAAGGCAACAAAACAACGAACGCCCAAGTATTTCGCGTAGCCCCCCGGAGGGTGGAAGCGTTTCGTCATCGGTATAAATTATGCGTTCGGCTCCCGAGAGTTTCATCGATCCGAATGGTCAATGTTTGTCAGACGAAAGACTAATATTCTCTTAGGCCCAAAACTTAGTAATTTGTCGGGCCAGGTTGGCTACCGGGGTCGCGGGACCACCGAGGGTTTCCGTTCGTCGTAAAGTGAGATTTTAGGAGAGACGTACCTCGATTCTTTCCTCCTTGAGATCGACCTGAAGCGCGAGCTGCTCCCTAAGGATCACGTCCGGATAGTGGGTTTTGTCGAAGGTCGCCTCCAGTTGCTCCAGCTGCTCCTCGGTGAATATCGTCCTGTGGCGGCGTTTCCTCTTCGCCATGGGACCCACGGACGCCGCGTTCGGGTTTATTTGATAGGGATGCGCCGCGTGATAGAACGTTGGCTGACCGTGGAGCGAAACCCCGGCAGCCGCCATCGCCGCCACGTATCCGCCGGAATACAAACTGGGGTACGCCGCGGCTAAAACAAAAAAAAAAGACGAAAAGCATGAATTAAAATAAAAAATTCGATCGGAGGAATATTCGTTGAAATTGTAATATCGTTCGACGCGACCCTATTCCCCGCCACGGGGGAACGAAAAATACTCGAGGACCCCAAGGGATGTTTTGGTTTAAAATCTCGAAGAAAGCTGCTTAGCGGCGACGTCGCCGCGTAAAAACGCGCGAAGGGCGAATTCCTGCTCCCGATCGTTCGGTCTCTCTTTCACCGTTGCATATTTTTCCATCTTTTTTTTTTTTTCATCTTCCGCAGCCAAATCGTTCGCGCGTGATCGAAACGGATTGCGGATTTCGGAGCCCCGCGCATCCCCCAATCTGCGCGCGGTACTCTCGCGGGTGAAATACTTAAAGCCTCCCCCCCCCCTCCCCCTCCGGGGGGCACAAAGCAAATTTCGTTGCAGGGACGCGTCGGGTCCCCGGAGGATTTACGCCTTCTTTCATTTTTACGAGACTTTGCGCCTCGCGGCGCGATTCGTTAAGTAACGTATCAGAAAAAGTGAGACTTTCAAGTTTCGCGGAGTTAATCTCGGCATTAATGGCTTTTGGATTTCTCAATGTCCATTATGAAATTACAATCGTACGAAATGGTGGGTCAGGGTTATTGGTATAAAAGTTTTACGTTTGATGTTTAGTTCCATCGTATCGGTGACTGCTCCGAACAACGTGTCCCTTTGTTTCTAGTTCAATTTCACCAACTTTAATCGATTCGATAGAACAACTTACCGAACAAATCAGCGGACGTGAACGCCAGGTGATGGATCTGTTGTTGCAGAGGATGCATCGCCGTCGCGGTCCTCGAGCCCACGGCCTCAGGGTTTTGAATGATGGAACCCAGGCCGCTGGTGCTGGTGGGCGTCATGTTACCCAGTGGTCTGGGCGCCAGGATGTTCTCGATGGTGAAGGCGGACGTGGGCGAGGACATTGTGGCCGTGGAGCTCGGTCGCGAGACCCCGCGCGGCCTGAATCGCGCCTCGTCCGAGCTCAGCGGGCTCCTGGTGAACGTTTTCTCGCGCGCGTTCGCGTCGTGATGCCTCCCGGTCACGTTGTTTTGCTCGTCGGCGGCCTTCAGCTTCTGTTGCAGGCTCTCCGGCGAGTAATTGTAGAGGTAACGGTGGTCGTAGCCGGATATGCCGGGTCCATCCTGGAGCGGGCTCGACGGCTCCGTCATCGGGGAACGCGATCTGGGCGAGTCGCTCGCGTATGTGCTCTCTACCATGTTACGGGAGTGAAAACGTAGCGAGCCCGAACACTTCTCCCACACGTTGATGCTCGACAGTTTTTGGGATCGTGACTCTGACGGTGTCTCGACTCGGCTACATATTACATTCTTCCCGTCTTCTCGATACCCGTGGCCTCTCGTCACATAGTCCGCACGTACGCCTCGTGCTACACGCGGAACCGAAACGCGACACAACCCGTCTGTCCCATCGCGTACGAGAGCGTCGCGCACTGAATTCTTTTTCTTTTTATTATTTTTTTTTTCTTCTTTTTTTTTTATTTTGTGTCGAAGATCGAATCACTCCAAACGATTTCCACGGGAGAAAACTAGCATCGACATCTGGCCAGGAGTGCCACGGGGTCGAAAGTAATCTGACGCGCGCAGAGAGGCTCCGATCGCGCAGTGACACCGATGAGATAAACGATATCCGACGACTGGTCCGACTCCGTGTACGCGTTGACCTCTCGGGGGTGCGTTTAGATTCGCCGGCATCTACGTACGGGTAGCCACCCCCGTGTCGTCGACAGAGACACCCTCGAACACATCCAGCCGAAGTTTTGCCCGACGCCGTGGAGAGGGCGTGGCTCGCGTTGGCCCCGTCCACTTTTCCACCACCCCTCCCTCGGCATCCCCTATGACGAATGGTGGGGAGGGGGGTGTGCAGAGACACCGAGAAAGAGAGAGCGCTAGACTACGACGATGGTTTCCGGGAGGATGCAGGCGGAGGTGCAATCTCCTGATGACAGCGATGGCTTGCGAGGAGGGGGGGTGAAAAATAAAAAAATAGGGGGAGGGAACCGTCGAGCCGCCCGACGGAATACCCTTTCAACCCCCGGTGTCGGGCTTCGGCCGAGGGCGTAGAAACGTACGGAACCCGCGAGGAACACCCATGGTTGGGGACGTATTTACCGCGGATGATCACAGACGTGTCTCGCGTATTACAGAGCTTTGCGAGTTTGCCTAGCGAATCGTATTCACGAATTAATCATGCTCTCCAGAAGTGTGTTTGGGTTCGGACCCGCGCGATCGAACCGCTCGGTATTGTTTCTGAAAATAATTTCACGTTTTCCCTCGTCTGGATTATCGTGTCGATGTTTCGAGCTTTTTCGCTGAGCTTTTTTCCACCCCCTCCCGCGCCCGTCGGGATCGGCTAACGCCGCGGTTCAATTTGCGAGAGGAAGCCGCTTCCCCGGAAATTGGAAATACCGGAAACGCGCTGGCGGAACGGGGCACACGGTACTTTTACTTCGGGATTCGATTATGCACAGGTTATTTCGTTTATAAATTTCGCATATTGTTCGACGATGTCCAAAGAATATCCGAGTAATCAGCCAATGTGAAGCGAATCTATATCAGTTTGATATAGGGACACGGCCATAGCGCGTGCGACATCCTGATAACTTCGCGTTAAGGAGTCTTACAATGATCTTCTTTGGGTCATTTTAAAGGTTGAACCCTCCACTTTCTCGTCCATTAGTTAAATTTTCCGGGAGATTAGTTTATACCTTTGAGATCTAATATGCCCCGATGTTTTAGGTATATTCTGAGGAAATAGAATTTCTGTGGTTTGTATTCGTAGATACAATTATAACTTCTTCATCAGACATCACAATAATAGTAAATAGAAAGTAATTCTTTTATGGCACATATGGCCCACGCTTGCAACCTCGTTAGACATCGATTCTGTTCCTTTAGATAGATTCATATATTTTCTGATGCACTGATCGATCAAACTTGTTAGCCCTCTTATGCCAAAAATCGTCAGTTTATATCGAGTATCGGTATTAGGTTTCGCAGTAGCTAATACGCATGACATTTAATGTATCATAGTTGTTTGGATATTCGATGTCACTGTCCACGATATTAGAATTAAAATACCTTCCAAAGTAACGATTTTTTTACCACAAATGACTCAGTACTAACAAGAAACAACCGCTAACCCAGATTCGAATCCGCGATCGAGCAATAAAATTATTTCAGCATATTTCGAGTATATTTTGCATATTCCTGTATATTTTTACATATTATTGACACATATTTGACGTACGTCGGTCACATAATTTGACATATTTTATCCTACACAAAGATCCATGGTATAATAATAATACTACAGAAATAAGATTCGATGTTTTATAATCTACGTTACAACGAATTGTGATGGAATTCCGCGGATGATACAGATTCTCTCGGGCGCGTTTGATTGATTCGCGGATTGAAACAACAGCCGCGTACGCGTACGGCTTTGAATCTAAACTATTTTTCTTTTGTAATACCTGTCTCGGTCAGGTTTGCAGAGATGATTATTTCCGATGCGCGGATTATATGTATGTATACAGAACTTCGCGGAATCGCCCAGCGAGGAATTCTATTATTTGTACGAACGACGGTACGGCGGGGGCGTGTACGGTTTAATGCGAGCGCGGCGCAACGTTCGAATCTGCATCAACCGCAGCGTTCTGTAACGTCCGGCGCAGAATGTTATGAATATTCGTATCGTTTTGTAAACAAAGTAGGGCTGAACCGTTCGCAATTCGGCTAATCGCGAAGGTACCGTTACGGGGCGAATTAAAAACACCGTTATTGGAATATTCGGAATTCGAACGATGCTGGATTATCAGCTGTATATATGTACCAGACTATTGGATAGCGTTTTATAATATTTCAACAAACGATTTTCAACGGCACGTAACCCCGTCGAGTGAATAATGTATAAGCTGTTATTTTAGGATTACAAACGAGTCGAAGGATTTTAGATATAACAAAATTGAATGTATTTCTTTGTACGGTTTCACGTCACAGCAATGTCGAAGTGTCTGTCGAGTACAGAGAACGAAAGATACCTTGATGATCAGATTCATGATTTAGAACATGAGTCGAAAATTTGGTAATTATACAGATATCGCGGTACTCCTATTTGAAAGTATCTTTTCTACCTTATAGACATAAATTTATTATTTTTTAATGCCTGTCTGACATAAGTAGAAAAGTAGTAAATAATATTTAATGGAACGTAAAGAATTGTTTTCCTGAAAGTGCGTAGGATTTCGAAGGTATCTCTATTCACCAAAAATGATTGTAATTAACCCTCCAAGTTAGAAATAATTTTTTTAGTACGATTTGAAATTTTTTTTTCGCCAAAAAATTTCAACATATACTCGAATTTTTTTCTTGAAAGTGAGTAGGATTTCGAAGGTATGTCTATTCACAAAAAATGATTGTAATTAACTCTCCAAGCTAGAAATAATTTTTTTAGAACGATTTAAAATTTTTTTTTCGCCAAAAAATTTCAACATATACTCGAATTTTTTTCTTGAAAGTGAGTAGGATTTCGGGGGAATGTCTATTCACCAAAAATGGTTGTAATTGATCCCCTTAGCTAAAAATAATTTTTTTAGAACGATTTGGAATTTTTTTTTGCCGAAAAATTTAGGCACTTGTCAATTTTTCTTAAAAATTCGGTTTTCGTTTTTAATAAATTTGTTTGAAGCTATAAAATTTCTAGAAAATTTTGTCTAATACTTTTTTGTAGGTACCCATGAGCTCTACTTCAGAAAAAAGTTTCATTGAAATATATTCACTGTTGTAAGAGTTATGGCTGTTTGAATATTGGACCATTTTTATAGGGTCTTTCTTACTTTACGGGGTTAAGAAACAACTTTTCGAATATTTTTAGAATTTCTACATATTGTTGACTAAAATACGCGTTGTTTGCCTTTTGAAACATTAAAATCGTCCAAACCGTTCAGGAGTTATGATGTTTCAAAGATGCGCATGAAATTTCGGGGAACAATTTCTGAACGTAAGATTTTCGGTAAGGAATTCTTTTCTCGAAAATGCGTAGAATTTCTGGGGTATGCCCATTCACCAAAAATGGTTATAATTGCCCTCCCAGCTAAAATTAATTTTTCCAGAACGATTTAAAATTTTTTAATTTCTGCACCTATTCCCTGTCGATATTTCTTAAAAATTCGTTTTTGATTTTGAATAAATTTATTCGGCGCTCTACGGAAATATTGTTTAATACATTTTTATAGGTATCCGTGAGCTCTACTTGACCCAACTAGACCCAATCGTGAACAAAATCAAAAAACTTCATTATCGAAACGAATCTGTCTCCTCGTAAGATGCAAAATGGAGTGTCTCGACGAGGTGGAATACGGGTCTCCATTCCAGTAAGGGGGTCAGGCGCGTCGTATCTCGTACGGGGATGTTGCCACTGCGACGATCGGTGTTTCAGCGTCTCCCTCCCCTCCTTCCCGGACCGTTGATCCCGTCAGATCTGTTCAATTATTCAAATCCCGCCCAACGCGTCCGTATTAATAACATAAAACCGTTGTAATGTGCATTGACTGTCGTCGTCATTGTTAACGGGGGCCTCTGAGGTGGGGAGGATCGTGATGCGATACGTGGAGAACCGAGCGTGAAAAGGTTCTTAGGGGCGCGCACGTACCCCGGACATTGTGAGTCGCCGCCTGCCTCTCCGTTCGAACCCCGAGCACACTTCGATTCCGAAGTCCACGGCCGAAATCTGTACCAACCTTAATCCTAATCCGTACGTTAATCGTGGCTCGATTCGCCGAACCGTGCCCCCGTGTCCCGTGTTCGCGATGTACCCACCGGTTTAGGCCGTCGGATCTCGAAAAAAACCGTGTACTCGCTTGCACGGTCCCGTGAACACGTCGTCGTCCATGACGTTTCCACGGCGAAGATGCTTCTCCCATTGTTCGTACGGAGTCGTGAATTTCATTAGCACCGAGGCGAATAGATAATACGAGCTGCTACCGTCTTTGCGCTGTTATTCGTGTGCTAATCGCGACGCTTAGTACCAGTTTCAGCGGATAACAGACGTCGACTAAGCGGGAATTCCGGAATGGGTGAACCCAGGCAGACGAAATGAATTTAAAATTAAACATTAAAGTCTCGAACCGGCTCGAGACTCCGTGTTTTCAGATTAAACGAGAAGTCTCGTTTGGATACCCGTCGAGGTATTTTTCTCT